CTTTCTTGAGACCCGGAGGATGGTAACTGAAAAAGTCAAGGAAACTGTTAGTGTCCATTTTCTTTCTATAAACTTTGGTCTCAGGTGTCCCCCTTTGCTAACACAAACACCCAAGAAGGAGACAGAGTCATGACTATACTCCAAAGAAAATTTGATAGAAGGCATCCTGGAGTTAACATGTTCTTTAAAACATTCAAGTTGTTCTAGTGTACCAGAAAAAAATGTTATGGTAAACAAAATCCTCTTCAAATTTACCCATGAATAGGTTTGCATAATTAGGAGAGCAGGAACTGCCCATGCTAACACCTTGACATTGTAAATAAAAAGAATCTTCGAATTTGAAATAGTTTCTAATCAAAATGAGTTCAGACATCTTTAACAAAAAAACAGTAGGGGGAGTGAGGACATTCCTTTTACCAAGATAATAAGCCAGAGCCTCTAAACCCTCAGTGTGTGGCACATTAGTATATAGACTAGTGACATCCATAGTGCAAAGAAAGTCACTGTCTTCAAAATATTTTGAACAGAGTCCATTTTGTTCAAGAAATCAGTAGTGTCTTTAAGAAATGAAGGAAGTTGAGAAACTAGTGTTTTAATGTGCAGATCAATATATTGAGATATAGGTTCAGTCAAAGATTGTGTAGGCTGTTGCCCTTTGCTGCATGTCATTCACCCTCTCTCTCCCCCTTTCACGCTTACCTGTCCTGTCTATTAAAGGCAAAATGGCCAAAAAAATATCTTAAAAAAAAAAAAAAAAATATTGTGTACCAGCTACTATAGGACATCCAGGCACAGGTTCCACACAACTCTTGTGAATCTTGGGGAGTGTATAAAAAATAGGGCATACTGTACTTTGAAACAGAAAATTATATTCATCTTGAGAGATAAGAGAGTCATTTAAAGCATTACTTAAGAAAGAGTCCACTTCTCCAAGAAATTTCGCAGTCGGATCATAGGTAAGAGGAGTATAAAATTGTCTATTGTCAAGTTGTCTCAAAATTTCTTCTCTATATGCTTCTTTACTTTGCAGGACAATAGCTCCTCCTTTGTCAGCTTTGCGAATAACAATAGAAGTGTCTTTGGATAACTCAGTAAGAGCTTGTTTTTCTTGGAGACTAATGTTGTAGTAGGCTACAATCTTACTTTGTCTTTTTCTTGAAATTGAGAGGACACCTCCTGTTCCACAAGCCTGCAAAATGTGGCAACTGAAGGGTTAAGGGCAGGTGGAACAAACATGCTCCTTGCTCTCAATCTGTAAGGCCCTGTGGCCTCAGTAAGTTCAGGCTCTACATCAAGGTTGATGACATATAAGTCACACTCTGGGTCCCTCCGGTGTGAGCGGTGCCGCCTGTCGCCCCGCCTGCTAGCCCATCTCTTCCCGCCTTCCTGGTCAGGTACCTGGCTGGGGGTCCTTCTAAAAAACGCCGCCATCTCCTGGTGCCAGCCGCCGGATGTTTGTTGCCTGACTCCCCCGTAGATGGTTCGCTGGGGGCCGTGAAGTCGTCATGGCGGCGCCAGTGGCGATGAGCAGTGTGGCCTTCTGATGACATCCAAGGGTACACCCAGCTATTTTTATAGTCCAGGGTGTCTCTCCAATATTTATTAAGTTTCGTCTCGGTCAGCTGCTTTTCAAAAGAGTCTTTAACAGCAGTGCACTATCTTCAACGTCCTGGATCTGAAGTAGTGAGCTTAGTTTTCATCTCGCTCCTAATGTCAGCAATCAGCTTGAGTCTTAGATAGTTCACTGTCAGCATGCTGAATAACAAGTAGCATCAGGTCGAGCAAGCACTTGTTAAGAATCTCACACCACTTAAGACAAAACTCACTGTTATCTCTGCCCAAAGCCGGTTCCTTGTTGATGCGGAGTCCTCTTGGTATCCTTTTGTTCATTTTTCACACACCTGCTCTGATTGCTTCGAGCGTACTTAAACGCCACTTCCGTAACCATAGTTACACACGGAAGAAGACTTTCTGTCAAAACGTTTGTTGTGTACTGGTGCTGCCATCTAAGCTGGTTGATTAAACTTACTAAAAGGACATTTGAGAGTGCTGGCGTTTTTCCCTTTTTCACTGTTTTTGGCCATGCACCTCACGAGTGTATTTATTTTGAGAGTGCTTGCTTGTTCCTACGTGATTTTAATCTTAGTCATACCCCTTACATTCCAAGAGGTAAATTTCAATTTCTTAATGGAAGATATCTTAACCTAATTTCAAACCTATTGTATACATAATGCCTATAACTTTAAGCTGGTAATAGATCTGTTGCTTTTGTGTGAAGAAGGTCTTTAAAGTATGCCGTTGTGCCTTATATGTACTGCGAGACATGTAAATACAAACAATAACGTAATAAAGTCAAACAAGACCCTGCCATAAAGAAACCCGTGTGGCTGTCTACCAAAAACTTGACAGCCCTGCTAATCATCCTCTCCTCTCCCTTCCTTAGGGGTGTAGCTAAGTGCATCAACTGATCCAGTGCAAAACAAGGGAGCAATTCACTAAACTAAACTTAATTCTATAATAAGATCAAAACCAAAAAAAGCATTCGTGTCTCCTGGCAAATTGAACACCAGAGAGTGTATGCTTTATTTGTGCCTTATTGTATACACCCTAAACATATAAACACAGATATCTCAAACATTGCCCTATATTGGGTTTCAGGTTTGTAGTAAGATAAACTGAAGTAAGCCTATAGTCAGCTCGGGTGAGATAACCAGCTACAAAAAAATAAATCACAACCGATTATTTAGTTCTTTGCTAAGAAAAATTAATAAATAAAATGGCGGTCATTTCATATTAAGCTTAATGCAACATCCCTTTCAAAACATAAAAGGTAATATTATAGTGGACACGTCTATAAACCATAAATACATTTTAAACAGTACCAAACTAATGATGTCCCCAACCTGGAGTGTGTGCAACAGCAGCAGCTTAATTGATCAATTGATCTCAGCTTCGTCAGGATATTCAAACTCACGCATTTGACCATCTGTCGTCAGGCAAAGCTTGGCTGGATACATCATATCATACCGAATGTTCAGGGACCTTAGCTGTTGCTTCACCCAGTCGAAGCGCCTCCTCTGACGGTGTACCTCTGATGACCAGCCCAGGAAGAACATCACCTCCTGCTCTCCAAATTTCACCTTTCCTTTAGCCCTGGCAGCTCGCATCGCTCTAGCATTATCTTGGAAATTCAAGAACTTAAAGATAAGGATTCTTGGCTTAGATTGGTGTCGAGTGGGAAGACGATGAGCGATCTCACTAGTTGGCGATGATGGGAAGACTCCTGGCCCCAATACCTCCGGCAGCCCCTTCCTTGAGAAGTGGCTGCCGGATCATTCTTCTCCACTTTTTCGGGCAGGTTTACCAGACGCAGGATGCATCTCCTGGAAATATTTTCAGCCTAGTCTAACTTACTGGTGATGAGGTCAACTTGTTTAATTAAGTCTCTGATCTTGCCTCTCTCAGAATTGTTGGAGTCCTCCAAATCACTGATGCGCCATTCCGCATCATCCATGCTCTCTGAGAAGTTCCGAACGTCTGTTTTAACTTCCTTGAATTGCCTTCAGGACTCCGTCCATCTTTTGGTCAAAGTAACTTTGCATTAAGTCAAGTTTTTGCATGATATCAGCACTGTGGGTCATCTTGGTTGACGCCATTTCTTTGTGAGGGGGAGAGCCAGCGTCGCCTAATGAGCTAGCAAGGCTAACGCTATCCGCCTCGTCTTCCTCAATCAATTCGGGATTCGTACTGTTCTTGTATGTCTTCCTCCTTGTCTTTCTCAGCGACATAATATTGTTAAATCCTGCTGTAAAGGTTGGAGAAGTTCTGGAGATTAAGTCCGCATTTAAAAGATAGATTTCAAAAGTTATACAAAAAGTTTGCCAGGAGCACACACAGACATGTCTGTTCAGTTCAGAACCATAGCCACACCCCCTTTTAGTAAACCTTTTAACTGAAAAAAGTTAATGACTACTACAACAAAATGTGCTTCAATTTAACACCAAAGTCAAACAGAAAAAAGCAATTTTCACTTATGGCATGCATGAGGCCATTTAGTGCTGTGTAAAATACTTTATGACAACATGTAGTCAAATTTTGGAGTAGGTTCCTCGATATGTGGCCTAATAGAACAAGAAGACAAGATTGTACAGCCAAGCTTTCTGCTCTGTGGGGCTGCACTTAGGTATAGTAATGCTTTAAGCTGAATGCTAACATCAGAATGCACACAGCGACAATGCTGACATGGTGATGTCTTGCTGGTATAATTTGAAGTACAGCTGAAACTTGGGTAATTTGTTTTGTGGTTGTTTTCTCAGAAAGTGTTAGACAAATTAAAAATTTAGACCTGATGATAGCAACATAGAAAGTTCATACAATTTATCCTTTTAATTTCTTTGTTTATCAATCCACACAAGGCAGTTGAAATGTAACTTTTGGATAGTCCTCTTGTGACACACAACACAAATGCAATTATGGCAGAGGGGTAGTGCAGGGTAAGCCATAATACAGAACCCCTGGGACAGTTTGGGGTGTGGGTGCCTTGCTTGGGGGCACCTCGATGGTTCCCAGGGGGCCAGCTGGCTACTCCAGCTAAACAACCACACTCTGTGCTTGACCGTACAGGGACTTGAACCAGGACTTGAACCCAAGCTAAGTCCCGACAGACTGAGCAACTGCTGCCCCTTTCTGAACTCTGACATTAGTTTCCATACTACATTTCATAGCTAACCCTTGTCCTGCCAAACCCATCCAACAGTTGTTGAGACATCATAGTTAAAACCACTAATGTCAACACCACAGTGGCACCAGAGGGAAAGTCAGGGGATAACCCTCTTCACCATAACCAGTGGTGCTTTGACGTAAAATATCACAATGCTAACATGTTCACAATGACAATGCTAACATGCTGATGTTTAAATGTTTTCAATGTTCACCATCTTAATTTATTGTGTTAGCATGTTAACATTTGCTAATTAGAACAACACAAAGTTCAGCTGAGGCTGATGGGAATGTCATCAGTTCTGTAGGTATTTGGTTATAAACAAAGTATTAGACAAAATTTGCTACATGAAAACTCTGTGGATCACCAGTCAGATTAACCCTCTGGCAACCATGAATGTCTGTAACAATTGTCATGGCAGTCCATCCAATAATTATTAAGATAATTCAGTCTGGATCAACATGGTGGGCAGACTGAGCAACACACTGACATTGCCTGAGAGCCTGCTGCTAGCATGGCAAAAAAATACTGTAGGCTTAATACTACTACTCAGTCCCTCCAGGATGTTGTGATCAGTGGTGCAGTGTTAGTTGATGAGGTGGGTGTACTATTAGGTAGATGGGTAGGTTCACAACTACAATCACAAAAACAGCCTGCGAAATCCTGGAGGGACTGACTACTACTACTATAATACTAATTCCTGTTCCACATGCATTTCGTGGTGGCCATGGGTTTGATGTGATAGGTCAGAGGGTGTCCATTTAATCAGGCCTACATGTACATTAAGACATATCTGACATGATTTCACTAAATCCAACATAGAGCCAAAATCCAGTGTCTCAGCTATGTTCCCCCTCATCTTGTGATTCCTCTCTGGTATTTTCCATGTGAGTGTCTTTGAAGCCATCAGAGGGCGAAGGCAGTGGGAAGGGTGGTTGGCTGTCAGGTGAATGACTGGGTGATTGTGAACCCGTTGGCGAAACTGGTGTTGCAAGGTTCACATCTCGGCTGCTCTTCCGCCTAATATGAGCTCTTAAACTTCTCCCTGGCACCATCAGTAGCCCCCCTCCTTCCTCTACCAGACCGTCAAACAGTGCTCCCAGACTCTGTCGTATTCTCACGCTGAAGTTTGGGCAGCTGAAGGCGTACAGAATGGGGTTCAACACAGGATTCAAGAACACAAAGGTTGTGGCCCAGGGCAGCCCCACCTCCACCAAAAGGAGATATTCGGGCCAGTATTGTGCTGTTACCTCAATGATGCAGAAGATGTGATAGGGAGCCCAGCACAGTACAAATGCTGCAATCACAAATGTTACCATTCTGGTGAAGCTCTGGGACAGCTGACTGTGATTGGTGTGATTAGGGGTAGTAGGGGACAAGGTAGCAGGTGTCATGGATAAACATGGCCTGGAGGCCAGAGGCTTGAGAAAGATATTAGTGGTTTTTGTGGTTGTAGGTGTATTTATAGCTCCTGATGCCCCATCTTTGTTTGACACAATCAGTGCATCAGTGAGCCTGCCGGCACTCTGCTTCCTTCTCCTGCTCCTGTTCCTCAGGCTGAGAACAAGTTGGATGTAGCTTCCTGCAATCACCACCAGGGGGAACAGGAATGCCAGCAGCAACTTGGAGATGGCTGTTGCTGCCTGCCTTACTTTACAATCTCTCTCCAGAGAGGATGAATACAAGGCAAAATTATGATAGCACAGTTTCCTCCCATCCAGTTTCTCAGTCACTGAGCGAAACATGAAGTAAGGTAATGTATTAATTGCTGCCCACAGCCAACCCAACACACACACCTTCCACGCTCCTGCTACTGAGCGGTGATTCTGGCTCCACACTGGCTTTGCCACCAGAAGGCAGCGGTCCAGTGAAATGGCTGCCAGTAGAAAGGCTGACACAAACATGTTCACAAAGAAGATGGAAGCCTGTATTTTGCAAAGTAGGCTGCCGAGCTCCCAGCTGTGTGAGGAGGAAAGGTAGAAGGTGAAGAGGGGCAGCGTCAGGGTTGCAAGGAAGTCAGACATGGCCAGGTTGAGCACCCACACGGAGGCCACTGTGCGGCGCTGCAAGCGAAAACCAACCACCCAGAGGACAAGGGCGTTCTCCAAAATTCCCAGGCAGGAGACCAGACCGTGGATGCAAACCACCACCAAATTGGCCTGTGTGTTATTGTTGAGTTTGTGCTCCTTCATCATCTGCAGCAGGGGACAGAACAGCTGTCCCTCTGAGGCGGCTGAGGTGGGGGTCGTATTTGACATTTTTGCTCTGACAGAAAAAAGACAGACAAGAAGAGAATGGAGAGTGATCAAAATCAGTCAGGGTTTGGAGGTTCTGGTGCGTACATGCTTGTTCTTGTTTGAAAGCTGTTATCTTCTGTGCTGGTGTCTGTCTATGCATGCTGAGTGGATAAGCAGAGATGGGACCAAGTCACACATGTGCAAGTCTCAAGTAAGTCTCAAGTCTTAACCTTCAAGTCTCAAGTAAGTCCCAAGTCATTTTTTCTTGGGCAAGTCAAGTCAAGTCAAGTCAAGTCAAGCCACAGGTTATGTCAAGTCAAGTCAAGTCAAGTCCTGTAATAGGTCAAGTCAAGTCCAAGTCAAGTCACCTTATTATTGTAATTTTACCTGGAGAATCTGATCTTAGCTATATATACACCTCATTGACTCAGCTGTTAACCCAAATCAACTTCATATGCTGTTTTTAACTAAAAGTTACTTCATTTTAAAATCTTATTTATTTCATGTACTGTTTTAACATATGTATTCCATTTTAAATTATATTTACTTACTTTGCTAAGTTTTAAATCCATATTTATGTCATGATCTGTTTTTAAGGAATATCTACTTTGTTTACTAGTGTTTTAGTATGTAATAATTACTCAATTTTAAAACCATTACTTCATTTAGTCCATCTCAAACAGTATTCGCTTAACTTTACAACTAACTCAACAGTTACTTGGGTTACTCAGTTTTAACCAAATTTTAGGTGACTTCATTGCTGCAATGTTTACTTTGCAGGGACGACCCCCATGTGCGCGCGCACACACACACACACACACACACACACACACACACACACACACTAACCAAGGCAGCGGCCAAAATCACCCATTTAGTTCATTTAATCCTGTGTTGCTCGTTCATAAAATGTCCAGCTTGTGATAAACCGGTCAGAATGTTAGCTCACGTTTTCTGGGGTTAATGTTAGCAAATAAATTAGTATAAATTAAATAAATAAATTACCCCTCCCGCTGACATGTTGATGCCTATCTGATATAAGAGGGCGTGTTTCTCCAATAAACACGCAAGGTACATAGAGAGGGCATGACTGATTGACAGGGTAGTGATCCAATCATGACAACGCCATTCTTAGCCTGCGCTCTTACCGGGTAATCAACAATATTTTTTAAATTAATTTATTAATTTTATATTCTAACTGAAAACATGATGTGAATAACACTCAAGTCATTCAAGTCATCGTGTCTCAAGTCAAGTCAAGTCCCGAGTCTTTAACTTCCAAGTCCAAGTCAAGTCTCAAGTCTTTTATTTTTTGTCAAGTCACAAGTCATCAAAACAGCGACTCGAGTCCAAGTCACAATGACTCAAGTCCCCATCTCTGTGGATAAGATTTGCAACAACAGTGGTGGTGTTGATGATGGTGGTGATGGTGATATGACCTACAGACATGTCTTTGTCAGTAGGCAGCTGATAAATCAGCACTCCCTTTCCTCATATACAGTGACTTAATGTAATGAGCTCTGTAATCGTCCAGCTTGTTAATCTTTAGTGATCAATTACAAACCTACTGCGCTGCTAAGGAAACAAAATAAAACCTTATCATATGCAATTAAGGTGATAAATGTTAGTTATATCAACAACATGACCAACATAATCACAAGTGATGAATCTTCTTGAACAATAATTGGCTGTAGAAAGCCAGTGTACTCTGCCGTGACTCATATTTGGTTCAACAGACTCCTGGTGTTACATAATTGGATTTTAATAAGAAGGGCAACAAAGGCATAGTACCTGGACATTTCATGTTCATATATTCACACTGTAAAGAAATTTAAAGTCATTCAGTCCTTCATTACACTACCTTTGAATGAGCACAAATTCAAAAATACACATTTATGAAAAAAATGAGCAAAAAGCCTTTTTACGATATGTGATACATCATAATTTCCTCCATATTATCTATTTTATAGTGCTGTGAAAACATTAGTGAAACAGTTGTGTTCTGCCACACATTTTTTGTGTTGCTTTGGAGCCCCCTAGTGGTGTAAACATTTATTGTATTTGAGTTCTTATATTTTACCCTCCTGTCTTGCTGTAGGCGCTTCCTGTTGTTTCTGACTACTGAGAACATAGATTTATATAATCATTAGATGATTCATTCCTGTGGCTACTGTGCATCAACGTCGCCGCCGTCTTGGGGAGGTTACGGCTGGCTGGCTAGTACTGTTGTGTATGAAGAAGTCTTAAGCAAACTTGGTGTGCTGACTCAAAAGTCTCAAAGTGTAATTGGGTGCCGGTTCAAAAAATTACAGCAAAGCAGAAAAACCCGACAGCACTCACTAATAAGTATAATACTTTTTAATATAGTGGATTGCACAGCAGCAGTCGAATGGACGCGTTTCAGCTCATAGCCGTCCTCAGCGCTAAATGATTTGTTGGCGTATGTCCCTTTTAACAGAAACCAGCTGGTTCAGATTAACATTAAAAACAATACAAATATGGATCATTCATAAATGCAACCTCAGTGATACATCAAATAGTCTAAATATAATTAAAAAAAATAGAATAATAGAAAATCTTGAAGCACAAAATACAATACAATATCAAAAGATATTGAAAGAAAAGTTTCTTATGTATTTTTTATATGATGTACAGTACAGGCCAAAAGTTTGGACACACCTTCTCATTCAATGCGTTTTCTTTATTTTCATGACTATTTACATTGTAGATTCTCACTGAAGGCATCAAAACTATGAATGAACACATGTGGAGTTATGTACTTAACAAAAAAAGGTGAAATAACTGAAAACATGTTTTATATTCTAGTTTCTTCAAAATAGCCACCCTTTGCTCTGATTACTGCTTTGCACACTCTTGGCATTCTCTCCATGAGCTTCAAGAGGTAGTCACCTGAAATGGTTTTCCAACAGTCTTGAAGGAGTTCCCAGAGGTGTTTAGCACTTGTTGGCCCCTTTGCCTTCACTCTGCGGTCCAGTTCACCCCAAACCATCTCGACTGGGTTCAGGTCCGGTGACTGTGGAGGCCAGGTCATCTGCCGCAGCACTCCATCACTCTCCTTCTTGGTCAAATAGCCCTTACACAGCCTGGAGGTGTGTTTGGGGTCATTGTCCTGTTGAAAAATAAATGATCGTCCAACTAAACGCAAACCGGATGGGATGGCATGTCGCTGCAGGATGCTGTGGTAGCCATGCTGGTTCAGTGTGCCTTCAATTTTGAATAAATCCCCAACAGTGTCACCAGCAGAACACCCCCACACCATCACACCTCCTCCTCCATGCTTCACAGTGGGAACCAGGCATGTGGAATCCATCCATTCACCTTTTCTGAGTCTCACAAAGACACGGCGGTTGGAACCAAAGATCTCAAATTTGGACTCATCAGACCAAAGCACAGATTTCCACTGGTCTAATGTCCATTCCTTGTGTTTCTTGGCCCAAACAAATCTCTTCTGCTTGTTGCCTCTCCTTAGCAGTGGTTTCCTAGCAGCTATTTGACCATGAAGGCCTGATTCGCGCAGTCTCCTCTTAACAGTTGTTCTAGAGATGGGTCTGCTGCTAGAACTCTGTGTGGCATTCATCTGGTCTCTGATCTGAGCTGCTGTTAACTTGCAATTTCTGAGGCTGGTGACTCGGATGAACTTATCCTCAGAAGCAGAGGTGACTCTTGGTCTTCCTCTCCTGGGTCGGTCCTCATGTGTGCCAGTTTAGTTGTAGCGCTTGATGGTTTTTGCGACTCCACTTGGGGACACATTTAAAGTTTTTGCAGTTTTCCGGACTGACTGACCTTCATTTCTTAAAGTAATGATGGCCACTCATTTTTCTTTAGCTAGCTGATTGGTTCTTGCCATAATATGAATTTTAACAGTTGTCCAATAGGGCTGTCGGCTGTGTATTAACCTGACTTCTGCACAACACAACTGATGGTCCCAACCCCATTGATAAAGCAAGAAATTCCACTAATTAACCCTGATAAGGCACACCTGTGAAGTGGAAACCATTTCAGGTGACTACCTCTTGAAGCTCATGGAGAGAATGCCAAGAGTGTGCAAAGCAGTAATCAGAGCAAAGGGTGGCTATTTTGAAGAAACTAGAATATAAAACATGTTTTCAGTTATTTCACCTTTTTTTGTTAAGTACATAACTCCACATGTGTTCATTCATAGCTTTGATGCCTTCAGTGAGAATCTACAATGTAAATAGTCATGAAAATAAAGAAAACGCATTGAATGAGAAGGTGTGTCCAAACTTTTGGCCTGTACTGTATATATATGTAAATATATGTATATATATATATATAATCTTCACTAAAAGGCCTCAACTTTACTCCGGTTTCCTGAGTCTTTATTTTGAGGATTTAATGTTAGCTATCTGCTAAGCTAACCTGAACAAAGCAAGAGCAGAATAAGTTGTATTTATTCAAGTTTCTCTCTCAAAGCTGTATTTTACATTGAACACATCATGAGAACATTATAATTTACTTTGCCAAATACTCATTTTTACTGAATACACTTGAACGCTACACAGTGTAAATTAGTACAACCTCTGTGAGCTGTTCATTACAGCCACCAGCTGCTTAGAGGTAATGATAACTAGCTCTCCTCCTGACAACTCTGATATAATTTTTTTTTATGTTCTTTCTCTCATATCCACTCCTCTCAGTAGTGTATTGGTAGCTGAGTGGGCACCAGAGAGCTTTTGTTGTTTTGATATGATAACAATACAGTGTATTTTGGGGCTCACGTGACGTAGGATAACTCATCCATCTCCCACAGAGTGCAAGTTAAGTGTAATCAGCTGGGGAGGGGGGTAGCAGGAACCCAGAAACAAAAACCTCTCTATTATTTAGTAGGCTTTGTAGTTATGTCATTGTGGCCTTATGTAATATTTCAAAATAATAGTAGTAATAGTATTAGTTTGCAGTACAGGCTGTGCAGCGTGCCTTAAAAAAAAAAAAAAAAAGACAGGCAGGCCAGAGCAGACCACTTGCGGGTCAGGCCACCGGGGAACT